TCAATGTCATTCGCACACCCATGTAAATATGCACCCTATTCATTATGAAATTATTTCAAGACACACCGGTTTCATCATGAATCCATTTTAAGATGTAATTATTTCATGACAAACCGCATACATTATGCACCYGTTTCATTTTGCATTTCACCTACTAAATGGATCAACTACACCATCACTGAAACGGGGTTCACCATCAAACCAGTTCACTACTCATTGTTCAATTACGCCATGAACTAGTTTCACCTTCATGAAACTTGTTTCATGTACATAGATTAGTTTATTTCGCTCTTGATTTGATGAATTCATTCTTTTAATCCTACAATCTTAAAGATTCTGTAACAGATTACAATCTTCAAGATTATGGAGCAGATTCATCATATACCCGTTTCATCATGCAATTATTTCATGACGAACCAAATACATTATGCACACGTTTCACTACTCTTGGTTCAATTACGCCATGAACCAGTTTCACCTTCATGAAACATATTTCATGTATATTAATTTTCTTATTTCACCCGTGATTTGATGAATTCATTCATTTAAGCCTTACAATCTTCAAAATTCTGGAGCAGATTACAATCTTCAAGATTCTGTAACAGATTCATCATGTACCCGTTTCATCATGCAATTATTTCATGACGAACCAAATACATTATGCACCCGTTTCATTTTCCACTTCACCTACTAAATGGATCAACTACACCATTAACGAAACGGGTTCACCATGAAAATGTTTCACTACTCATTGTTCAATTATGACATGAACCAATTTCACTTTCATGAAACCTGTTTTATTTGTATTAATTTCTTTTTTCAATCATGATTTGATAAATTCATTACATTATGCCTTACAATCTTCAAGATTCATAACAGATTCAATCGCATCACAATATATTTAGTTCAAATTTTTAAAATTATAATATAATTAAATATTTAAATGTTACCATTTATAAAATTTCATTTATTACGTTTCCTTAATTAAGATTTATTAATAATTTCCATATTTAATTGAAAATATTGTAAATGACCGAAATACTTTTATTGATTAAATTTAATTAGAAAAAAATGGAATTTTCCTATTGGTCGAAATTAGTTTACACGGTTTCTTAGAAATGCACGGTTTTCATTTGAACGTGCCCTTATATATATATATATAGGGTTGGGTTCACGTAAGACCAATGGTTTTTCGTAAGACCAATTTATGTTCATTGATTAATTTTATAATCTAATGATCCAATGGTTAAAATTTAGCATTAAACTTTAAACTTGTAGGGGTATTTTTGACCTATATATTTTTTCTTTCTTTAACCTATATATAGATCTAATCCAAGGGTCAAAAATTGGTCTTATGGGTCTCACGAAAAACCTTTGGTCTCACATGATCTCAAGTCTATATATATATATATATATATATATATATATATATATGAGTTATTATACAACCCTTTACATTTGTATAACCAATACAACTTAATCCCAACCGAATATTTAGTTTGATTAATATGTGATTTCATAGAAGTTTTGATTATTTCATAATATAAAGTATTGATCATAATTAATGAACTCTAGTCATCTTTCATAAATATTCAAATCATAATAAATGAACTTCCATCATTTCCATAAATATCTTAATGAATTAGGTTGCATTGGTTATACAAATAGACATAGTTGTATTTGAAATATACCCTATATATATATATATATATATATATATATATATATAGGGAAGGATTCAAACGAGAACCCCTGTGATTTACGAAAACGCGAGAACAACTCAATAACCACATATTGTGATAAAAAAATAAAATTAAAAGATTTTTAAAATTAAAATTAAAATTTAAAAAGATTCAAAAAATTTTAAAATTAAAAGGGTAATAATGGAAATGATATATTATTTAGAAAACGGTTAGAATCTTTTAAACTTATCATTAAACATAATCAAAATCTTTTAAACTTATCATTA